GCAAGTGTATCAGGCACTATCAAACGACGCGGTCCACTTGATGAAACCTGGAAAATTAAAGATGATGTATTTCTCTGATGGATGGACAAATTGATTCGTGACTTCGTATTGCAAATGAAATCCTCCACACCTTTTCTTCCTCCGTCCACTGGCCATTCTCTTGTTTGTACATTATGGGGGATAAACTAAAATTACAATTATTACAACACAAAGGTTTTCCAAATGGTCCACACTAAAACGTACATTCTTAGCATGTGCAAGGCCGTAAATCGGATGAACGTGCTTTCCGATGGAAGCAAATCTTCGGCATGAATTATCAGGGTTTGATGGATGGCATCATACCTACAATGATACAGGCATTTTAAGACAAACTAATAAACTACACAAATGAAACTAGATATTTCATCATGTATTGACGCAATAATTTTTGAAAATTGCACGCCGTATCACATGACAGACTGACACTGGCTTACCCATGGCATCCAGACCAGTGCTCACGTACGGGTGTGGCTCACTAGGACAGAAAGCGACTTTTTCGCGTTTCGCAGCGCGAAACATTTTTCGCTGCGGGAACCTCGGGTCCACTGATGATCAGCGGTGGACCTGAGGTTCCCGCAGCGGAAAATGTTTCGCGCTGCGAAACGCGAAAAAGTCGCTTTCTGTCCTAGTGAACCACACCCCTCACGTACGAGTGCGACAGCTAGCTGGAAGCCGCTACGCTACTGCACATTCCAGTCTCATGCATAACAGAAATGATAAATTAGAAAGATAGGGAAGGTATGAAAGAGTGAGAAAATAAAACAACCGTACGTACCCAAATTTATCCAGCTCAGGGCAAAGCTTTGTTTTCAGTGACAAATCGTCCGGCAGTTGTTTTATGCGCAGCAACGCATCCACTAAACTCCTCACGAAGAATGTTGCCGGACTATCTGAAAACAATCGTTTGGTAGTACTGCCGATGACAAAAAATTGACAAAGACGTGACAAATGGGGCGGATTCGTTCTGGAAGACTCATTTTCATACTATCAAATGTCGCCTCCTCATCGGAACCGATTGTTACGATATCCTCTAAATAAAATCAGCTCCATAGCTGAAATTAAATGAAATGAGGTAAAGCAACAGTCCCAGCAGGTTTTTATCCTTCAACACTAATGGTGCGCTAGCCCTAGTCAAGAACATAAGAAGTGTGACTGAACAAAAAACTCACCTTGGAAAGCCGCTAGAAAGGGAGCTGAACGGCTTCGAAGTGGGCGTGGTTGGAAGTCGGCCGAGGGATTGCAGCCGACTGAGCAACCACGCCCACTTCGAAGCTGTTCAGCTCCTTTCTAGCGGTTTTCCCAAGGTGAGTTTTTTGTTCTAATCACACATCCTTGTGCTCTTGAATAGCATAGCGCGATCGCTCGCACACATAACGTTAAAGGTCAAAACCCTGCTAGAACTATTGCTTTAAACATGGCCTATGCAGCGCTGTATCTACGCACGCTAGCCCTGCTAATCCCAAACACCTGTCCATGAATGAGCGACTAAATTACATTCAGGTGATATGCAGGCCTATTCCAGAGCAGTAGAATGGTTGTGAATACAAAATAGGAAGTAAAAGTAAAAGATGGGAACATTGTATTGATCAAGTATCCCTCACCAGCTTCAAGAAATGTGAACCATCGCACAACAATACGTGCCATTGTTGGAAGAAAGAAGTTGGGCCATTCCTACAACACTTGCATATTTATTTGCTGCTGTTGGAAAAATGAGGTTGATTCATTAACTCACCGTATCAAACGAGTTACCGTAATTGTGACAACTTAATTTATCGCATTTGCTGAATACCAATAAAGCTAGGCCAGCTAGTGCTTCCAGTTGAGGCGGATTTTCGCCCTGTGCAGCCATGCGTTCATCGCAGCTCTAAAAAATCTCGAACTACCCATGAAACACCTAGACATCGGTTCCAAAGACCTACATCCATTGCTGTCACCACGCCACACATAATAAAATCCAGCAATTCGGCAGGCAAGGATGGTAGCGTCACTTCATCCAGAATGTCTAAGGCAGCAAGCAGACATAGCGCACTTATTCGCCAAGACGGAGAATCCAACGAACTACAACAGAACTGCTGAAACGACTGATAGAATAAAATCCATCACAAAAGTACCTGGCGTTAAATATGGAGTCCTCCCATTCGGACATATCAGACTGAACGTGTTCATGGATTCGCGACAAGAAGTCAAACTTTGATTCGAAATGGAACCTAAAACAACATCAGGAGATAACAGGCCATAACTGCGTTCATAGTGCATAACAAATAGGCAAGCAGTCGTGGAACCTTGGTAGCACTTGACATATTACTCACCAATGATAGTATCATGCATAGATCACTTTGCTCAAACCTTAACTCGATCCTTACCCCGACCTGCAACCTACAGTAGGGTTGGGTTGGGTCAAGGTAGGGTAAGTCAAGATTATGTTTACGGGAGAGTTGCAGCAAGGGTTAGGGGGATGTCATCGAAAAGCCAGCCTATCTTCGCTCGAGGGATATTGCTTGGCGATTTCAGAGATTCGCAATTTCCGTAACTTCAGCAATCGCGGAAATTGCTGATGGCAAGGTTGCTAGTGCTGATATCGCAGTCTGACAACGACTAACTATGTGACAAGGACGAATTCAATGCTCCACCGCAGAAAAGCATTGGCGTGCATCTGCTGCCTCCGTGTGCCGATTTGTGAGTAAAGTACGACAAAGAAACAAATTGACCTGGTTATCCACTGCTCCAATGAATCCAGATTTAGTTCCGAGCAATCATTCTGCAGCGCCCAGAACCAAGCCACTTGCTTTCGGGCTCATGCCATGATGGAAGTGGAAGCCGAGGATGAGTAGAAAATCGTAGATGGTGAAGAGTCATCTGCGCGGTGGCAGGCGATGATGGCAATGCTAATATGGCAGAAATGGCCCGAGATGACGCCAAAAGCTGTTTTCTGAACAAAACAGTTGCAACAAAGAATAATGTTACAGTATTACAGGTTGTCCAGAAATTAACATCAGTTTTTGAGCCTATTTTTCAACGGCATATCTTACTTAGCACAAAAATTATCTAACTGAAATAAAAACCAGTAGAGTGTACACATCTTCGCGAACGAGGGAACAGGCGCAATTGTTTCTTCTTGCATGTCTAAATTTTTTGGAGCTCATGAAATCCTCGACGTCAGTTTTCACCTGAGCTTGACTACTAGAGCATTTCTACGTCAAAGAAATGTCGGGTCTTATCAAGAACTGACAGTATGAGCGAGAGCTTCCGAGTATGATGAGTGCGGCAATGTTTCACGTCCCAATTTGTTGGGTTTTGAAACGTGAAATTTGCGACGTGTTCCGCGCACTGCTATGGGGAGAGACAAGTCCTTCACTCGGCCGAGCCTAAGTGGTTGAGGGGTTTCTGATAAATTTGGTACAACTCCTGGAGTTACACCCCTGCCGTTATTGTTCCACTGGAATTTAAGGAACTGTGGTGAATTAGACTTGGAACAGATCACTCAGCATGACCTCCAACTGGTATATTTTTGATTCGGCAAGATGGTGTTTGAAAGACACCAACCACTAAGACAACTGTCTCTGTTTGTATTTTAGTCCGCTGAGCTCCCTCAAAAACGCGGAACACTTCTGTTGTGCCAAAAGAAATACCGGCGACACACTTCAACACCCCCCGAACATAACAAAACTGTTACATGTTCCATCGTAGGGGATCCATTGGTTCACCTTTCGTCTCATTTCCCAATACAACACTTAGGAACGATAATAGTTTTCGCACAGCACTGCGTGTGTTTTCTCACACCTACTCTCCTTAATTCTCAGAGGCAATAGGCGCGCCGGAATTGCATAAGCGACCTTTCTTGATTGAATTCGCCACGGTGAAGAATTCTGCACCGGCGATAAACAATCCTTATAGTAGCACTTTTATGACTACACACCATTTCTGTGTTCCAAGCTATTTTTGCTATTAGCTAGCCGCATTTTGGCCGAGCTGGAAATTGTAGAAGTGAATTAGTCAGTTTGCTGGTTTGATGACCCTACTTTCGAGCCAAAAATTCCGCCGAAAAATCGGGCATTGCTACCATTTCGAACCATACTGTATCGAGCATTGACACAATGGGAATTCCTGCCAACATATGTAGCAAATGGATCCCTGCCAATGAATTTGTTGCCAAAACTTGCACAGAAGAAGCAGGGTCGTAAGACTGACATTATTTTCTGAACAACCCAATAACATAAAAAGTGAACATTGAGAGGAAGAAAATCAAATATCAAATATACGTTCATGCGAGAAGACAGCTAGAGCCCCATACCTGGAATACCTGATGCCAACGATTCATGACATCGGAAAGGAGTTCAGTCTTCGCATCGCATCGCCATCGTGTATCATAAAACAGCTGCGCGACAGGAAATATTGCAGCAGCATAAGCCAAAGACACATCATGAGTTTTATCTGTAGAAAAAATAGTTTCATCAAGGCATTCAAATGTTGAATACCCCAAAAAAACCATGAATCTGCATTATGCAAATGAATGGATAGTTAGGATCAGCTGGATAGCATTTTACACTTACTTCAAACCATTATTTCATCCTGAACCACACATACAGCAACTGTGTCACCTATCATTTTTCCTAACCTCCGTTCGTGCAGAACACCAAAAAAGTGACCGTAAGGAGTTAAGTGAGCATCTCTAACCTTCGCAGTCTATACAGAAGGTAGATAAGCGCCCTCCGAGCCGCTTTCTTCAACAGTGGCCAGTAATTGTTCCTCAGAACCAGACGATTCTTTCCCATTTGGGAAAGGATCACCAAACAATCCATACTTGGCTACCACATCGTTCGTGACCTAAAATTGATAATTTTGGGTTCCGCAATATCTTGTGCATTATTCAGTTGTAGTTATAGTAATAATATTCATTATCATTATTCAGTTGTAGTTGCATGCACCGAATCCCTCAAACTTTTTATTTACCACATCACTCATCGTAGTTAATTGGGCATAAGGAGTTTAGCCGAGAAAAGCGTAACCCATATAAAAACGTCACTCGCAAACCTAAGTGCTCGCGACATGAATGAGATGTACTCGGAAGACAGAGTAGAAGTTTACAGAAACAGGAGAAAAGAGAATAGCGTTCCGTGTAGGATGGAGAACAACCACCTCTGGAGTCTCCAGATTTCAGAGAAGTTTGAAAAAAATGAAAGAATGTAAATATAAAGCTGTTACTTTTGAGAATAAAATGGCGTAAGTGTCTTTAACACTGCATCTTCTTCCCTGGTAGGCGGAGTCGATGTACACAAAGGAAACCCCGCAAAACCTCCCATATCCAATTTAAAAAATAATAAAAAAATATACAAAAATGACTAGAACCTCACAC